CGAACAAGTAAAACCTAAATCAGATGTTAAGAAAATAAAATAATAATTAAAAAAGAAAAACAGATGGAACAAATAGAGTTACTTAAAAGTGAATGTGAATGTGTTCTGTGCTTTGGTTATTAATTAAATTTTAGATTATTAAGGTGTCTGAAATGTTTTGAAGTGACTGTTCAGTTTATGATTTTTGTAATAAGCTCAGTACATGTTTGTAATACATTTGAGTTACTGCGACAGCCATCACTATCTTCTGAGCATCTCAGAGGACATCACACTAATAATTTTGATAATTTTTAAACTTTTTAAACAGTTATGTCACATTTCAACTTAAATTGGTTATAACTTAAGGCTGAAAAACTAACAATCTGTATTGGAAACGCATTAAAAACCCATGCAATTCAGCTTTTCATTTCTTCCACTAAGATCTGAGGTTCCAGAACAGGAAGCAAAGCATTTATTTATTACTGCTAAGTACGGTGAAACAGACTTTCTATGAAAACTATCATTAAAGGTGCATTTACATTTAACTCATTTAGATTCTGATTAATGTTTGTTGTCCTCTGAATTCAGAGTGATTCCATACAAAAAAAAAAAAAAAAAAAAACTGACAACTTTACAGCAAATTATTTCTTTGGAAATTAAGTCCCAAAAATGTCTGTACCTTCAACCTTTTTCTACTTGATATGGACTTAAGTCTCAAGTCTACTAAAATTAAGCATTTGTCATTTTTCAGCATGAATCAGCAGTGGCTGACCTTAGAAAAGCGACATTGTAGATGTAGTTAAATAATGTAAATTTGTTACTTTGCCGAAACTCACAGCCTGGCTGATGTCTTTTTCACAGCCTACTTTCTGTGTTGGGCTTTGTGTTTATTTGCGCATAGAAAAGGTCACCGGAGAAGCAAAAGCAGCAATTGTTACCGTGAGTGATTAAACATTTGAAAAGACACGCTGACTTGGTTTTTTTCCCCCTTGTCTTTCAGTATTAAAGACTTTTATTCTTCTTTTAGTGAATAGACCAAACACTCAAAGAGAAAGGTGTGGCACAGTCTGGTCTTATCTCATCACATCAGTCTGAGAAGTCACTCTTCCATAAAACTGTCTCCAGCGATGCGAGATGCCAACATCACATCACACCCTCATTTTTCTGGAACAGCAGCTTATAGCTGAACAAGCATGTATTGCGATGCCCGAACACAGTTCAGTGGCGTGTTAGACACCAAAATACATCTCAAACTTATGAAACCTACAAGTTCATTTTCAGAACAGCAAATATCCAGCATTAACAGAGTCCAGTTTCCAACTCAGGAGGTTTTCAGTGATATGCTTGATATTTTTGGCTCATGTAACTAAATGCTGTTTTATACATTCCCTTGCAAAAGTGTTCATACTGGCCACATCCCAATGTCTTTGGTCAGTCAGAATAATACTACAAACTAGGGTAGTATTGTTAAGTGGAAGGAAAATGCTTTTCAATTTTTGCTACAAATAAGAATCCGTTACATGTGGTGTGTATTCAGCTTGTATGAGCAAATACTTATAGAACCATCTTTTGCTGCAGTCTTTTGACTTTCAGCTTTACAAATCGCAACAGTTTTAACAAATATTTAAAAAAAAACATATTTTTAAGTAAAAATTATGTTCTGTAGTTTTAATAGTGTGATTACATTACACACAGGTACACTCCATTTGGTAATTTGGTAGCTTTTACTTGGTGATAATAAATTATATTGGATGCAAATTGTTCCAAACAATGTATCATTTGCCTTCACAAGTATGTTCTGCTTTTTTTTTTTTTTTTAATAAAGGCCCAGCAAAATAATTTTTTATATATCAAAACAACAAAAAGTTCATTGCATTCTTTTCCCTCCACTGATGAATATTGTTTACTTCAAAAAATGTTGAAATAGATTATGTTTTTGTTGGACTCTATCTGAAATGTCTGTTCAGACTAGACATGACAAAAGTTTGTCAGAGCAACAGGAAATGCAAAGTTGCACACCGTAGCTTGGCAGAGTCTCCCTCTGGGGTCCGAAACCTTCCCAAGCTGAACGGATCAAACCAACCGACCTCCCTCTAAGGTCCCTGACTGGATAACAAGTACCAGCAAGAAAAAAAAAAAAAGGAATAACAGCAAGTTTAATTTTCTGTAACTTTTTAGTTTGTGCACTGACCTTTTTATAGACTTTTTTCATCTCTGCTTTCAACTTGGTAGAAGACTAATGGCTTTAGTCAAAAAGAAAAAAAAAAAAGAAAAAGGAACCCCTCTGTCTTGTGGACCACGTCTCTAAAAATAGCCCGCTCTCTTACAGTCCTACTCCATGTGAGCCCTGCTTGTGTCTCTGGTCCGGTTCTGAGTGAACTGAGCCATCCGGCGAACACTTCGACTCCGGTCCCAAGCAGCTCCCGTTGAGGCGGCCTGCCACATCCTACAAGAGCTCTGCCTCTTTTAATCAATACAGAATGAATGGAGCATAAAATAACACTTTGAAAACAAACAGCACTTTCAGCAACTGTAACCCAGAGAATGTTTTGGGTCTGCTGCTGCTGCCTCAAAGAATTATATTCCCATTTCAAAAGAACAAGTGTACAATAAAAATGCTTTGTGTTGCCAAAGCTGCCACCTACTGTTTTATTGACGTGCCGTGTCAATGTGTGCCCCTGCTTTGCTTCCACAGTTTCAATTATTGAGCTTCCAAAAAGAAATATTATGAGCAAAGTTCAATAGGCCGAAATGATCTATGGTTTCTTCCCAAACAAAATAGCTAACTTCTAAAATTGGCAAGTTTTTTTTTTCTTTTCTTTTTTTCCCCTAAACTTGTCAACCTCACAGTTGTATAACTGTTTCTGCCAGGTTATTTGGAAGTGAAGCCATTCTTGCTGTCTCAATACACTGCTGGTCTGGGAGCATCTGAGGCAGCTGAAGGCAAATTCTTTCACACGTCGATGCAGATATTGGGAAGTTAAAGTTAGGAGAGGGCACTCCTGTGGTGCCGCTCCTCCACAGCGAGAGAAGAAGCAGCAGCCAGCGGTATCGATTCACCTTGCAGCCTTGATCCTGCTGTCACAGACAGTATATCACTTCATTTAATCCACTGTTAAATAGGCCGTAATTAGAAATCCGTCCAGCAGATTTGTTTTATTTAAAGAGCAGTTTGCGGCTGAGCCGGAAGGATGCTCCACGCGCTGGACGGCATCAACTTCCACTGGAGCTATTTTGTTTTTCGGGAGGGACTTTAATCTGAATGCTGTCGACAGTGCCTGCAAAGAGAAAGCAAATGATGCAAATAAACACTCTTGGGGGGGATTAGTAAGCGGGCTATTTGGAAAATATTTACAGTAGGTCTGCTAATTGTGGATAATGTTTGTTGATCCCTTGACTGTCGTTTGACTGACAGATATTTGTCACAGCAAATATTTCTTTTGCTAAACGGATGGAAAAAGCTACAAAGAACGAAACGTCCACAGAAAATATCTAAATTAAAATATTGTGTTTGTTGTCCTTTCAAATGCAAATGATTCCGGAGACGAGAAACTGTGATGTTAGGAAAAATGAGAAACTTTGAGTTGTCTGAACAAGTTGATCCAAGTTTCCACAATGCTCTGAAATACCAATAAGTATGATTTTAGTGTTAATTATTTCTGTATACAAAAATGCCAGCATAGTGACTGGTATAATGCGTAGTTTCATGCATAGTGATATGCTTTGCTTGATGTTACATTCAGCTCTATTTGTCAAGCAATTTTTAATTAAACAAGCTAAAAATTTAATTAATTAAATGTGGCGAGTATTTCTCCATTTTGCTCACATTAGAAGAAAAACTAAACTTTTAAATCTAGTTTGATCAAAGCAAAGGAAATGTAATTGTGACAAAGTGAAACACTGCCTCTCCTTTGTAGAGTACATATTTGAGGAGGACTATATAGACTAAAGGAACATACATTAATTCCTAATGAGAGCCTACAGCAGCATTCCTAATTCAAACCTTCAAGATTTGGTGCGCCGGCTGTTTCAGAGGTTTCAGCGTCCGATTAAAAAAGAATGGCTTGTCTAAAGCTCTCTACAAAACCTGCAAACCTGCTGATGACCACATGTATTTGAGAAGGAAGACATCGAAAACTTGCAAAACACCAGGAAGGATTACATTCAGACCCATATGATCAAATTTAAAGTGGGATCACTGGAACGAAGAACAGGCGAGTCTGACTGCCTCTTAGGTAGGAATCGTGAAGTGAAAGAAATTTGGAGATACAGAAAAACTCAGGGAACAAATCCAAAATAAAGCATAGCTCACATTAAGTAACCAGAAGAAAAAATAGCCAAAAACTAACAAACAATATGAGAACTCAAATAAAACTAATCTCAAAATCTAATAAATCAGGACATGCAATTAAAGTGAATGAATGAATAATTGAAATGAAATTTGCAGGAACAAACCTTTGCTTTAAAGTTTACACATCTGAGATCTATCTCACAGAGAGCACATGAAGTCAAATAATATACAGCTTTCACAAAATTTACTTGAAGATATTTTACTAAAATATCTTTTTTTTTAATCAAGTCAAAGGCTCGGAAAACTTAAGTTGCAAGTCATTCAATAGTTTTTTGTCTATTTTTCTGCACTTATTTACTTGAAACGTAGAGCGAGCGTTTGGAACAGCCTCGTTGACCCCAATGACAAGTTTCCTTTTCAACACACCCCAGTGAGTCATTCATCCACGATGCAATTACCACGAGGAACAAAATCCAGGCCCGACGGACAGTGATATCTGCCAAAACCTTTAGCGCACCAGCTTTCAAAGAAAAGCTTTTTTGACATTTCGCCAGGGCGCATTTTCCACGCTTTCCTCCGTAAAAGTTGCCTTCTCCTTAAAGGCCACTGGGTGTCGCTCCAGAGCGTCCAATATCGCCTCGGTGCGCTTATTCCCTCAAATATTACCCCCCTCTGCTCTTTACTGTGTGTGCGGGTGCGTTGTGTGTTGGATAGAAAGTCAGCCCGGTTTCCAGCTGAGTGCTTGCTCTCTCGCTGCGCGTGTGTGCGTGTGTATGCGCGTGTGTGCGTGTGCGTGTGTGTGTGTTGTCATTATTATCCACTCTGCTCCCAGCTCAGAATGGCCAGATTCACTCAGACTGAAACAAGAAGGCAGCACCATCCACAGCAGTCCCAGCCCGCTCACTCCAGCCTGGTTTTCACCGGACCGGGGGCACCACCGACCCACCAACCATTACTACTTCTCCCACATCAGCACCAGTACCCCCAGCTTACACTCCCGAAACCCATGAACGGGTCAGAACCCATTTCAATTCATCCGGAGAGCGGCAACATGAAAGACCAAGATGCCATTAAGCTGTTTATCGGGCAGATACCGAGGAACTTGGAGGAGAAAGACCTGAAACCCCTGTTTGAACAGTTTGGGAAAATCCACGAACTGACAGTTCTCAAGGACCGATACACCGGCATGCACAAAGGTAACGTGACGCGCCACGCACGGTCGCGAACGCCGCCTTATAATTTCCTAATATCGCTTGTGATATTTAGCTCATGTCTTTTCTAATGCGCCTTTTATTTTATTTTATTTTATTTTATTTATTTATTTATTTTTACATTTGGTCCAATTTGTCAGTGAGAGGCTTCTTATTCCTCCCAATATTTGGAGACGTGTCTGTTACAACTCGATTTTTCGGCGCTTGTATTCCCACAGAATTCAATATGTCCTCCATTATTATGAGCGCTTCTCTTTCGCAAACAATTCCTTACAGTTTTTTTTTTTTGTAATCTTAGAGTGTTTCCTTGCGCTCCTAAAGTGGGGCAGAGGCGCTCGAAAAGGATGCATTTTTAAAGAGCCTTCCCTTGCCAGTCCCATCTTTTTTTTTTTTTTTGTCTGCGGAGGGACGGCATCATTTATTCATTCACATGCTTTCTTTAACATCTCTTCGCGTGGGAGTGGGGGAGCTGGGGGCCGGGCGCGGAGCCGTCACAGCTAAATCTGTGTAATTCTCCAGTGTCTCCGAAGGGCGCAGGAACTGTCACAAGATGACGGACGCTGCCACGGAGATTGTGTGACGCCGGCTGAAAGCGGGGAAGCCGAGGCCAGCAGCGGAGGGGATGTAAATTCACTCTGCCCCACTCTGCACGGGCGACAGTGACAACTTCCATCCTCCCAAGGCCCAATGGAAGTTGTTTAGGAAGACATTACTGTGGGCTTATGTGTTAGGAGCGAACTCCCACGTCCACTCTGCATGTTGGACATCAGAATCACATTTTATTGTTTGAAGTGAAATAGGCTAACCCAGGGACTCAGCAAAACTACTTGGGATAATCTTTGGCATTTAGACTGTTCTGATAGTCATCCTTCCATTTGGATTTTCATCAATTCATGCAGAGTTTAAGGCTTTTACAGCTGCAATGGGAGGAAGGATACACATCCATCCATCCACCCATCCATCCATCCTTGGATTGTAAATTAGAGTGTTGTCGGTGTCTATCTCCAGTGTATTGGGTGAGAGGTGGTGTACGTCCTGGACAGGCCTGCAGTTTATCACAGAGCAGCCCAAAGGCCCCCAGGCCAAACAACCATGCATGCACACAGTTACAACTAAGGGTAATTTAGAGTAATCAGTTAACCTATAACAATAATTTAGAATCCCTGTTACAGACCGTAAAGCCATTTGTAAAATTTTATTTCATCTTTATTTAACCAGTGAAGTCCCATTGAGATTAATAATCTCTCTCGTTTTTTTTTGTTTTTTTTTGAAGGGAATCCTGGTCAAGAGGTAGCAAAATGCTTGAATTTGAAGCCAGGACCTTCTTGCTGCAAGGCAACAGTGCTAACAGCTGCTCCATCGTGCAGCCTCGCGATGTTTATCACGCTGGCAATAAATTATTGACTTGACTTAAGAAGGGAGGCCCAGATATGCCCAGTGGCAGTCCACGGTTCATTCTGGGGGCTCACTCCCAAGGCATTCTCTGGTCAGAGAAGATATACAGTTCATCCACTGGGCTCTGGGTCTGCCCTTGGGTCTCGTCTCAATGGGACATGCCCTGAAGACCTATGAAGCAAGGAACCCAGGAGGAATCCTGATCAGACACCCGCCACCTCCCCCCAAAAAAAAAAAAAAAAAAAAAAACTCAACTGACTTCTTTTGATGTGGAGGAGCAGTGGCTCTTCTTAAAGCTCAAGTTTTTTTCCCCCCATGTTCAACCACTCTACTCTACTGGGAGGCTCATTTAAGTCTTCTGGAGTTTGTAGATATTTGTAGACATTATTTACAAACTCCATGTTTGAGAGTCAAAAGAAGGAAGAACTCAAGATACTCGAACACCTCTCCTGAGAGAGAGACTCGCCACTAGTCTGGACAGAGCAAATCCAACGTTTTCAGGTTGAAAGATGATTTGGATTTTGAGGAGTTAAAATCTTGGCCCATGTATCAACATATCTTTTAAAATGATCGTCGATGTCGCCTGCTGGGGAAAGACAAGAATAATGGTGTCCTTTGGGCAGCTGCAGAACTTTGATAGTGAAATATTTGCTATGGTTTACAACACCACTATTTTTTCATAATTGGGTTGCATTGAAACATTGAAACTTAATGGCACCCACCTAAGTTCCAAAATAGTCATACTTTTAGTTATTAGCATAACCTATTGCTATCATAAGATTTCACTTGGTCAGATAATTTTTAAAGTAACTAAGTTGCTATAACTAAGCATATTTAAACAATTTTTGAAAAAGTTTGGTTTTAAAACTGCTAAAAAAATTCTATTAAACCATTCCCACCCTTTTAAAGTAATTTTAAAAGGATGTGAGTAAAGAATATCATAGTGACTTGAGTTTTCTTCATTATGGAGCAGAAAATAATGTTCTTCCCTTACCCCTACAGGATTTTGCACATTTCGCGCCAGCTGTCTGAAAGACAGCTGTTGCACTTTCTCTCAATGACAAAAAAGACCAATTCAGCTGCTTCTGAAATAAATTATCTTCAGTTTTTAAAAATATGCACATTTAAGGAGCATAATTACTTACTATCATTAAGGTAAAGCAGCTTGGGACTCTGGGTAAAAGTCTGTGCATTAAGCACCAGCGCATATATAATTTATGTATATAACGTAAATGTCATTTGCAAACATTGGTTATTTGTGGTCTGAGAAGTTGCTGTCAAAAGGTGAAAGTTAGATTAAGTGAGATTCGTCAGTCTGTCCAGAACCGCCTCGGAACAGTCATACTGAGTCCCCGTTTCATTCGGATACGAAAGGTTGAATCTGAAAACCACCATCAGACTCTTTATTTCCCTGCTGAAATGTGAGGCAATATTTGATGTCAGTTTGTAGAAAAGAAAGATTTATTTTTTCAATGTAGCCTTCATTTGCCATCCGCTGGCATGTGTTTATTTTATGTGTGTGTGTGTCTGCGTGCGTGTGTGTGTGTGTGTGGTCTACAATATCATTGCCTGGAGTTGCGTAATGATTGCAGTATTTGGCTGCTGAGTAAATTTTGTCCAAAAAAAGGTTCAGACTGTCATACATGCAGCTCAACACTTTGGTTCAATATGTATATGTGCACATATACATACACATATATATATGTATGTATATATGTGTATACATACATATGTGTGTGTGTTTTGAAATGGTTTTCTCTGATTTCTTTAATGTATTATATATAATATGTTAATTGGACAGTCCATGTTTAACTTGTAAACGACAAAAAAAGCCTTACTTCTGTAATTTAGATGTGTAATTTTGTTTATCCATAAACAAACGTGGCATATTTAAATAAAATGTATAAACAGAAAGATATTGAGTTGAGGTCATCTCCCTGATTTAATGCAATATATAATTTCAAATCTACTTTTCAAAGTAAATATTTATCCCCATTCAGAAGCTTGCAAACAACTAATTAATACAAGATAAGTAGGGTTCATCAAATTAAATGTCTTAGAATGTAATGATGCCTGGCCACACAATTAACAATACACAATCAAGTCCTAATATGTCAGTGATCTTTCAGAGTTAATCATGCTATTAGGCAGAATGGGATTATGGAGCATGCATCCTCGTGGAGAGACAGGGACAGCGCCCTCTCTAAGAGGTGCATTAACTCTGACAAACACTCAGACGGACAGTACTAGATGCACAAATTTGTTTTCATTATCATAAATGTCGTGCTTTCTGTCATTTTGATTTTTGTTTCATTTCCCATGCACTATCCATATTTATTTTCCTTTCATCTTTTTTTTTTTTTTTTTCTTATGCAACTATTTTTCCTCTTGGTAATCCATGGGGGAAAACATGGAATTAGTTCGTAAAGCGTGATAATAATGCATGGCCATAATAACTTGACTCAAGAGGATTAGCAAATGTGCATTGTCTGAAGCAGCGGTCTCCTGGGTGATCAGTTGGTTGCCTCCCTAAACAGTGGCTGCCTCTCCCAATTAAAAATTCAGTCCAGTCTGCCTCTTCAAATGATTAATTCTGCCCACGCTGTCAATGGCCTGCCAATTGTTGTCGCCCAACCGGTATTAATAGGTAGAGGATTTCCTGATGTTGAATTTATCACACGGTGGAAACTTCTCCCTTTGGCTCTAATTAGCTTGTGTTTATAGCACATGCAGAGCACACTCTTAGACATTTATGCACATGCATATATGCAGAACTAAGGTTGTTTTTTTTTAAGCATTCTGGATCCTCATCTTCCTTCCTTCCTTTTTTCTTTTCCCTCGTTTGCATCTGTTTTGTTTATTTCACCAATTTACTATCCCTGCCTTGAAAAAGCGGATGTATTTATGGAAAGCAAACGTCTCTGGACAGATTATGCCCCACGAGCTCCCCTCATGCAGTTAAGTAACACGCAATCAAATCAGAGTGAAAGAGCATACGTGATTCGGCTCAGCAGACAGACAGACAAGCCTTCCCTGAGTTGCTCCAATTCGCTGGCCAAGGCAAACCTGATATCAATATTAAGCTTGTGTCGGCTATCATTCTGTTAATGCATTTATAAATGGAGATATTGCCGTAGACCACAGCCAAGCAGAAGCATATTAAATCACGGAATAATCTGATGAAATATTTATTCAAGTTTTTATTTTTTTTTCTTCTCCTCCGAGCGAGTCTGATAGATAGGGTTTCTCAGCGATTTGCTCCCTGAAAAGACAGAGAAATAACAGAATCACTTCCACACATTATATTTGTCAAAACCACATAATAGGGTATTTTTTAGAATGCAGTTATACGTTTGCACAATGGAGTTTGTGGACTGAGGCTCTGCTTTTTAAAGCAACCTTTCTATCATTAATAACAAATCTGAATCCATGTTTTTGTCCATAATCTGTGCGCCTTATGGTAAGTGTCAAAGATCATGGTAGTGTTGTAGGACAGCATCCCCCCCTGAGGAAACAGATGGGGCAAACTCACATATCATAAATAAAACTGTAGATGTGGCATAGATGGTCCATGCACATTGCATAAAGGT